ATTTATAAATGATAAATTCCTCGTAACTTGACCTCAAGTGATTGTTATGATTCATTTTCTATTTCATTTGTTTCGTCGTATGGAATTACTTTCCATACATGTTGTATAGAGTGAATCTTTTTCTTCTTGTTTGGCTTCTTTTCCTCTTTTTAAGTGCCAACAACTCAAAAGTATAGTACGGGATTAGTTGATGTTTACATAAACTAATTTAATTGATCATTAAAACAAAAAAAAAAAAACAACTCCAACAAATATGGAGTTCATTCAGGATGACATGCAGGGATCACACCTTCATAAGGTGATATGACCATCAGTATTTTGGGGATGAGAATCGATTCCAACTCAACCCAACAAAGTGTTGTCCAAACTTTTTTTGAGGATCAGATGCCTTTGTCTACATTGGAGAGATCTTAAGGTAGACAAGGGCATGGACTGGTCATAGAGGACAGAAGCCTGGTGGACCTGCCATAGCCATGGCTATGGCAATTGAGCGACAAAATTAACAAGTAGTAATAAGAAGGATTTATTGTTTCTAATGGTGCCAGAGCAACCAGATTTTACAAAAACAACACACACCACACACTAGGGTGCTACTTTATAGATGTGGATTTCATCAGGTATGCTTTTTTACATGACTGCTTTCAAGGTGTTTCCAACGTCAATCACGAATCGGTACCTAACATCAGCTTTCTCAAGACGATCCATGGCAGTGTTGACATAGTCCATTGGTATAACCTCAACGTCTGCTCTTATGTTGTGTTTTGCTGCAAAATCAACCATTTCTTGGGTCTCCTTCATCCCTCCAATGATACTCCCAGCCACTATCTTCCTCCCTGCCAGATTCATACTCCCAGTTAGCTTCAAATGTTTAACAAAAGAAGACTACATGGACAAACAAAGAACATGAATGGTAATGCCTATGGATGCAATTATAAAGATATGTTAAACCTTGCCATGTTTACTACATCTTTAAACATAATTAATTGGGAGATGAGGTTATTTACCCATAAGCAAAGGAAAGACCGGTAGCTCAAGTGGCTTGTTTGGTGCTCCAACCAAGACAAGTTTCCCATGCGACTTCAACAGACCAATCAATGGAAGGAGAGGATGATCAGCAGAGACTGTGTCAATGATACCATCCAATGTGCCCATGGCAGCCTACACAAATGAAATATATTAATATTAGAATAAGTACAGTCAAGATCAAGAATCACCACAAAGTTGAATACTATTAGCATATCAACAAAATGTAGATACCTGCATCTGATCTTGGTCCCGACTGACCAAAAATGAATCAGCACCCAGATGCTCAATAGCTTCCTTCTTCTTGTTAGGGGATGTACTAATCACCGTCACCTTAGCTCCAAAAGCTTTAGCAAACTTCACAGCTACATGGCCTAGCCCACCTAGACCAACTACACCCAAATGTATACCAGGCTTATCCAATCCAAAATATTTCAGTGGGCTGTAAGTAGTGATCCCAGCACATAGAAGAGGAACACCAGCATCGAGAGGCAGGTTTTCAGGCCAACGAACAATGAAGTGTTGGTCACAAACCATAACATCAGAATAACCTCCATATGTCATGGTTCCATCATAGTAGATGGACTTGTAAGTAAGTAGCATTTTGGGACAATAATTCTCAAGATCATTAGCACAATTGTCGCATGAGTGACACGATCCAACCATGCACCCCACACCAACTTTGTCTCCAACTTTTACCTTTTTCACATTGCCACCCACCATGGTTACTACGCCCACAATCTCATGGCTGCATCAATACATGATCGGCATGTAAATCGAAGTGATCTATTAAAGAGGTTAACTTACTCATCAATGCAATGTAAATAGAGAGAGAGAGATAGAGAGAGAGAGAGAGAGGGATTGAATGGGTGATTACCCAGGGACCATAGGATACACGGCCATGCCCCAGTCATTCCTGATATTATGAAGGTCCGAATGGCATATTCCACAATACAACACTTTAAATCTCACGTCTTCTTCCCCTGTTTCCCTGCAACATCAACCATTCCCAACCTCAAAAATTATATCCATCAAAATATATACACAAATATTTTTTTAGATATATGATCCATGTGTATATAAAGATGAACAATGTGTTACTGAATCAAACGAATAAAAGAAAGAAACGAACATTGTACCTTCTGGAGAAGTTGAAGGGAGAGAGGACGCCGGATGTATCTCTGGCTGCCCACCCAAATGCCTTCACCGGGTGCTCTGTCTCTGGTGATTTTGCCATTATCAAACACTAATTGGTTTCCCGAGAGAGAGAGAGAGAGAGAGAGGAGGTAATTTTTGATCTGGTGAGTGGCCTTTATATAGAGTTCAGGGTTTTGGGTTTTGCAGTGGGAGGGGGTTGATCGTTGATGTCATCGGTGAGTCAAGCATTGGACAGGTGTGAATTGATGACGTCACCGGTGACATGGCACAGGGTTGAGTTTTCTTTTCTGTTGGGCGCGATCAGAAAGAAAACAATGATAAAAAATAAAAGGAAAAATTATATCTAAACCTCTTATAGTTTGACATTTAATTATTTAAACTCTTAATATTAGAAATATTGCACAATGACCCTTAAAGTTCGCATACGCATAATATTTAGACCTCCACCATCAATTTATGTTAGTATATCGATTAGTAAATTACATTCAAACTCTCTGAAATTTGTAGATATGTAATACTTAAATTATTTAAATTTAAAATGTTATATTTAGGCAAAAAATACTCTAATTAAAGATAGAATATCAAATATATTAAATTTTACAATCAAAATTCATGTTCTACTATGACATTTATTGAAATTAATTTAAAAATAAAAATTTAATTTTTTCTTAAAAATCATATTTAAAACTTGAGTTTTTTCAGATTTCCAAAAGATACCGAAATTATTTTTTAACGAGCAAAAATATAATGTTATTAGGGGTAATTCATGCCTAAAAGACACAATAAAAATTTAAGAGAGATATTGGTAACTGTTAGATGAGATCGTTGAGTAAAGTTATTAAAATTTATCCTATTTTATATTATAATAGAGGTAACATGTGTCTCAAAGCATGGTATAATATGAATGATTTTGAAATAGATGTTGGTGATCGTTAAATAAATTTATTTAAGACCATGACATAAATTTATTAAAGTTTACCCTATTTTATATTACACACACACATATATATATTAATTATAGATTCCAAGGTAACACAGGTAGATTGATGATAATATCGAATTCTTACCATGTTTTAATTAGCCTATACATGATTATAGTAAAATTGGTGGTGTCAAATTCATATCTAAATTTAATAGGAATTGTTTATACTTACATTTGTATATATTTATTTATAAATTACATCTAGCTAATCAAATTAATTATAACTCACATACGTCTAGATGAAATATTCCCCATGACTTCATTGCGTGGAGTTGACAACAACTCCTCCAAAGAATTGTCAGCCCTAGATTTAGTTGGAGGTGACAATTTTATTGTGTCGGACATGTTTATATTATATTATAACATTTACAAGTTCATATTTAGGAGTAATTAACTCTAATTTAATTCATTTAACTAATTATATCATATCGATTGAATTTAATTATTTTTGTATTGTATCCGTATTAACCGTATAATCCATAAATAAAAAATTTAATATTATTATTCATGTTCACAAGTTGTATTATTTACGGGTTCGTTTCGCGAAATGATAAATCTTAACTTGTCCGCTAATTCTTTATCAATCTTGAGTCATATTAGAAATTGTCACCTCTAAATCTAGTAACCTTCTATGGTCATTTTCATATAAAAGAGTTCTTATTGTATAATATTATTATTAGAAATTGTCACTTCTAAATCTAGTAACCTTCTATGGTCATTTTCATATAAAAGAGTTCTTATTGTATAATATTATGTTTAGAGTGTTCAGAAAAGTTTACGTATATTTTAATTAATTATTTTTTTAGTTCAGTTAAAAACAAGTTATTTATGTCAAGAATAAAAAATTTACGATGGATAAATACCTGGTATCACGATCTCAAAGAAATTTTTATTCAATGTACGATAATTTATATGCAAAGATCCAAAAGACTTTTATTGAACACCTGCATAATCCATATAATTATAATATTTTATTGGGTAAAATTCATTCACACCCCTTATAATTATTTATATATTCAATAACACCCTTTATTTCTTTTAAAATTTCACTGACACCCCTACCCCTATTCAGAGGTTGTCTTCTAACAGAGTTAATGGAGGAGGCCATTTTACATAAATGCCTTTACGTATATCATATAGTATATGAAAAAATTTCATTCACACCCACTCTAAATTGACATATCTTTAATGAGACCTTTTTTATTTTTAAAATTTTTTTACCTAATAAAATTCGGACAAATTAAATTTGATTCTAGTTAATTAAAATTTATTTTTTATGTATTAAAATTCAAATCAATAAAAAATTATATTTTTAACGTAAATTTGAGTTGATTAAAATTTGAGTTGGTTAAAGACAAGTTATCCACGTTATGACTAAAATATTCATAAAAAATAAATCCATCATATCCGGACTTCAAATGATTATCAAGATTCATTTTCTATTTCATTTGTTTCTTCATATGGAATTACTTTCCANAATTTGAGCCCATTAAAAAAAATTAATTGGCTCGCATTAAATTTTAATCAGCCTGAATTTTTATACATAAAAAATATAAATTTTAATCGATTCAAATTTTAATCAACTTAAATTGAATTTTAATTAGCACAAATTTTAATAAAAAAAATATATAAATTTTAATCGACTCGAATTGAATTTTAATCAAAAGGTTTAGCTCAAATTAATTCAAATTTTAATACGCAAAAAAAAAAAATTAATAGGCAAAAATTTTAATACGTAAAAAAAATTAATCAGTCCTAATCGAATTTTAATCTACTTAAATTTTAAAATAAAAAAAATAAATTTTAATGTGTAAACAAATTTAATTTAATCAAATTTTATATAAAAAAATTGTTGAAGGTTTATTTAGGGATAATTTTAGGAGGCGATGTTATAAGCTGGTGTAAGTAAAGTGTATATTCGGTATAAAATATAAGTCATGATTTTTGTTTTTCAGCTTGTTTGAGACCGCTGTTAATGGCAAGTGGTGTCATTGATTCATCAATAGAATCTAAAAAAAAATGTAATGAAATTTCAAAAGAAGCTGAAGGTATTATTAATGCTCTGTTTGGTACGATAGAAAAGTGGGAGAATAGAAAGTTAGAAGGATAGAAAATTGGAGGGATAAATAAAACATCATGTTTGGTAAAAAAAGCAAGTAGGAAGGATGGAAAAGTGGATGTATTAATTTTCCTTCTAACTCACTAAAATCAATCCCTCCAAAATCGGAAAGAAAATAGATGAAAAGTTAATTATTTGTGTGAGATGTATCTTATTTGTCTATATATCTATTTATATATACATATATTATGTATTTATTAATTTCATATAAAAATATAATGGTAAAATATATATATTTAAAAAATTTTAAAAATAAATTTAAAAATTAAAATTTAAAATTTAAAACATTAAAAATTTAAAATTAAAAAAATTAAAATTAAAATTTTAAATTAAAAAATATATATTTTTTTCATCTTAACTAAGGGTGAAAATTTTTGACTCAATACGATGACACGCCTCGAATTCGATATGCAAATAAACAGGTCAATTCGTAACTCGACACAACACAATTAGTTAAATGAATTAAGTTAGATTTGACTAATATTCAACATAAATCCGTAATTACTCGACACGAATCTGACATGACATAACTCGATTGTCACCTCTAATCTCAGCTAGCACAAAAAAAAATAATCATTTTTATTTTTCATCCATCCAACCAAACACAAAAGAAGGAAAGTGTATCATTCTTATTTTTCATCTTTGAATGATAGAAAGTGTAGCTCTCTTATTTTTTATCCTCCTTATAAAATAGGGCATAATTATATGAATAATTATTGAAAGTTTGAATGAAATTTTTCCTATTTTATTTGTAGGGGTCCAACGATGTGACTCTCCGACTTAAAAAAATAAACAAACCCAAACATGACAACAAAAGTATACTAAAATTGGATAACTCCAACATAGTACTTTTTAAAATTGTTAACAACTAGAGCGTATGTCATAACTTATGCCTATTATTTGAAAAATTGTAGTATGAACTTTCAACTGATTTTCAATACCGCACAACTGATTTTTTTCCCACGTGAGAGTCAGTTGTTATTGTTTTGGGGAAATACAACTAAAAATATATGCATGTTACTACAGTGCCGTTTAAAAAATTTTGGTATCATACTTTTAAAATTTATTATTTTAAATAATATTTTTATAATTTTTATGGATCATTTTATAATCAAAAAATTTATCACTTTTGTGAGTATTTTTATCACTGTTGTAGATATTTTTATCATTTTTTTTAAGTATTACAATAATAATAAAAAAACCGGTGATAAAAATATTCACACATGTAATAAATTACGGCATAATACCGTAATTTTATTTTTCGGTACCATAGTCAAGTCCAAAATCTAAACGTTTAGATTTTATACTTGTCATATTTAAGATTTTGATACTTTTAATATAACTCAACCAAAAATTGAATAAATCAATCCAAATAATTAATCCTAATTAACTAAAGATTCATAACTTAATTTAATTAAATTATAAGTTTTAGTATGATATCAAAATGCTATGTTGCCTTTGTCTAATGGATGAGGTATGAAACACTATTTTTTCAGTTTTTTTTTTTGTTTAACAGTGAAGGGTGTTCGAATCAATTTATACGCATCTCAATTAATTTCTTCTTTAATCTGGTTAAAGACAAGTTATCCACGTTAGAACTAAAATATTCATAAAAAATAAATCCATCATATCCGGACTTTAAGTGATTATCAAGATTCATTTTCTATTTCATTTGTTTCTTCATATGGAATTACTTTCCATATATGCTGTATAGAGTGAATCTTTTTCTTCTTGTTTGGCTTCTTTTCCTCTTTTTAGTGCCAACAAATCAAAAGTGTGGTAAGAGTTAGTGGAGTTGCATGCAAGTTAACCAGAATACCGCTGATAGTTAAACCCAAAAAAAAAAAAAAATAAAGAAGAAGAACAACAACAACTCCATCAAATGTGGAGTTTATTCAGGATCGTGACGTGCAGGTATCACACCTTCATAAGGTGATATGACGGTCAGTATTTTGGGGATGACAATCGCTCCCAACTC